ATCGACGTCATCCGCCGGTCCTCCGCTCCTCCCCCCTTCCCCCACTTCCGTGAAGCCCCCGCCTTCCGCAACGCCGATGAGTGCTCACCTCCCATCCTCATCCACATCTCCATGACCCTCGACGCCAACTACCTCCGCGGCACCATCGCCGCCGTTTTCTCCATCCTCCAACACACCTCCTGCCCCCAAAATGTCGCCTTCCACTTCCTCTCCTCCCGCTCCAACCCCTTTATCTCCGCCATCATCAGCTCCACCTTCCCTTTTCTCAACTTCCAACTCCACCTCTTTGACTCCTCCCGCGTTCGCTCCCGCATCTCCCGCTCCGTCCGCCATGCCCTCGACCAACCCCTCAACTACGCCCGCATCTACCTCGCCGATATCCTCCCTCCCAATGTCCATCGCGTCATCTACCTCGACTCCGACGTCATCGTCGTCGACGACATCCGCACCCTCTGGGCCGTCGACCTCGAAAGCCTCGTCGTCGCCGCGCCCGAATACTGCCACGCCAACTTCACCAAATACTTCACCGACGCATTCTGGGCCGACCCGGTCCTGGCCCGAACGTTCGATGGGCGTCCTGCATGTTATTTCAACACGGGGGTGATGGTGATGGACGTGGAGAAATGGAGGGCGGCGGGTTATACGAGGATGGTGGAGGATTGGATGACTGTGCAGAAGAAGAAAAGAATATATCAGCTTGGATCGTTACCTCCGTTTCTGCTTGTTCTAGCTGGAAACATCAAGGCTGTGGATCATAAATGGAACCAGCATGGGCTTGGAGGGGATAATATAGAGGGCCGGTGTAGGAATCTTCATCCAGGGCCTGTTAGCCTGCTTCATTGGAGTGGAAAGGGGAAGCCATGGTTAAGGTTGGATTCTAGGAAGCCCTGCGCGGTTGATTATCTCTGGGCTCCTTATGATTTATACAGATCTTCTTCGCCTTCCCTTGAAGAGTAGGTTGCTGAAGGGAATGGCGGATGTTAATGTTGTATGGAGAAGAAGGCATGCATGTTGAAGAGAGAGAGAGAGAGAGAGAGAGAGAGAGAGAGAGAGAGAGAGGGAGATCATCATGCACGTATACATTTATGAATACATATATCTATATGCATAGCAGAGCCTGGTCGAACGGATTGGTGGGGGGGTTTATGAAGCAGAAGAGGAAAGAATTGCAAGCGGAGCAGCGAATGAGCTGGGGGGGAAGGCAAGAAGATACCAAGGGATTGTGGATTTCTTGGCTGAATTCATGGCCGAGGACCCGAGGTAGGGGTTGATTGAATTTACGAGTGTGGCCACTAATCAGTAGATGAATGCCGTTGAAGATGGAATTGAGACTTCAGCTTTGGGACAGCTTTTTTTTTTTCTTAAAGCAATTTTTTAGTTAAAAAAAATTATTAAAAAATTGCTTTTGAAAAACAATTAAAAAAAATCCCAAACAAATTCTTTGCAGTGAGAATATTTTTTTTCCCAATAATATTTGTTTCATTACATTGCGTAGAAAACAACCATTATGTATTCTTTTTATAAGATCTTGATGGTCTTCCTCAAGCATAATTTGTTACAATGGTCGCTTTGTTTATGTAAAAGATTTGGGCAGTAATTAACATAAATTAGTTTTCTTTTTTGAACTTAAACTTTATTTCAGCTCGTTATTATTTAGATTTTAGTCATCAAAATAAAACTTATATTCTGAAATAATTTTTGAAAATGCGATTTATTTTTTAAAGTAATTCTTAGAAAATTTTAAAATGACATTAAATGATTTCTATGATAGAAATTAAATTAAAGAATTTTTAGAATGTAATATTTATAATCACAGGATTGAAATGCATGTATTGATATAATCCTACTAAATATACCACTAATTTAAGTAGATGTAATGTCTTTGAATCTGCATGGGGCAATGTGGGAAATGAAAACAAATAGTATATTCCATCAAAATATATTTTCTTTTAATTATCTAGCTTTTCTCTAGCTCTGGAAGTGTTACTGTTCGAATAAGTTCTTTTAAGAAGAAATTATCATGTGCGGAATCTGGATGTACGTAGCTGGCATTCGGACTCCAATGAAATCAAACAACGTGGCTTCTACATACTCTATGTATAACTTATAAATATGATATATATAATACACACCTTGTATACGAGTAAAGTTGGGTTTCGATCGCTTTGTTCCATTACGAGAGGATAAATTTCAGGAAGGGCATTTATTCTCTATTTCTTCTTCTTGGTATTGGTATGTTTATGCGATAGCAATCTTGTTCTTATATTGCCAAAAGTAGTCGGCTGTTGTTTCTGGATTCGCCAAATTGCATCAATTTCTATGAATAAAGGAGAATATATAGATAGTAAGGATGATGATTAGGGGTGTCAATTTCGGGTCACAGGTCGGGTTCGAGTCGAACCCGAAACTGACCCTGGTTCAAACGGCGGCAACCCGCCGGGTCGGGTCCAGGTTCGGATTTCCGACCCGTTTATCTACCCGGGTCGGGTTAGGGTTGACCCGTTTGAACCCGGATCAGTTCCGGGTTCGACCCGAACCCGACCCGTGACCCGAAATTGACACCCCTAGATGTACTTACAAGAGGATGACATGATTTTATTGGGTGCGGGTAGTTTAATTTTTGTATGTAAAAATTCAAGATAAATGGGACTAAAAATTAGGAACTAAATGAATGTTGTTATAGTGATGAATCAATACAATTTTAGAATAAAAGTGAGAAAAAATACATACTGCATGAACTTTGGGAAGAGAGAAGAATGAAGAACCCCAACTCACAAAGGTGTAAGTCAGTTTTTAATTTTCATTATGGTATATTGAAAAAGGAAGGATTTTCTACCCTAATGTTTTAAGTATCAAAATTGTTTCCGACTATATAAAAGTATCAATTTAATTCTTTGACTCTTTAAATAGGGATCAAATTAGTTCTTATTATTTAGGTCCTATTTTAAAAAGTCATAAATAAGTCATAGGGCTAAAATTGAAATTTCAAATTGTCGGAGATCATTTTGATTTGTTATTTTGGCCCTTATATCTTAAGGTATGGATCTACTATGTGTATATAGTTTCAATTTCATTTGTTTTTTAAGTAATAAAAATACATTAAAAACAGTGTGTGTATATAAAAATACCAATCAAAGCAAATTCAAAGGAGATGCAAGTCCTTAAATTTCTTCTTCAAAAATCCAGAGAGGAGACAAACCATATTGAGTAGTGTTTAAGATCCGAAAAATCATTTGAAGAATCAAATCCAACCAAGACATCCTTAAAGGATTTGGATTGGTTTTTAGAAGCTAAAAAGCTAGGGTCAGTCATCTTGAGAAGAAGACTGGCCATCTGGGATGTAGAGGAAACATCAATACCAGGGTACAAAATCTCCAAAAAGAAAAATAGAGTTCAAACAAAGGAAGCTTGTAGGACAAAATGCGAAAAAAAAATCCGAACCGTAGAGAAAAGAAGGTAAGGAACTCCCCTCGGCAAGCAAAAGAGGCGAACGAACGAGAAGGGGGCACAGCTAGGGGTGTCAATATTTGACACGACACGAAAACCCGACCCGGACCCGACCTGGAAAATCCCGGTTGAACCCGACCCGATTTTAAAATGAGTCGGGTTCGGGTCCCAGAAATCGACCCGTTTAAAAAACGGGTCGGGTTCGGGTTGACCCGACGGGTTGCCGGGTCAACCCGCCAACCCGTTTAACTTAAAAAAAATTCAAATTTCCCGCCTCTGCCCGCTGCCCCAGCGAGCTCTACCGCGCCCGCGCCCGCGTGCCTAGCGTGCCCAACCGCGCCCGCGCTGGCCTCCGCCTGCTTGCCTCCGCCCCCGCCGTCCGCCGTTCCGGCGCCAGCAACCCCAAAACCGGGTCGGGTCGGGTCAACCCGGCAACCCGCCGGGTCGGGCCCAGGAACGGAGTCGGGTTCGCGTTGACCGGCGGTACCGGTCGTCAACCGTCCAACCGTTATTAAAAAAATTCCAAATTCCGCCTCGGCCCGCTGCCGCGCTGCACCAGCGGCGTTCCGCACGCGTTTGACCTAGTGCCCAACCGCGCCTGCGCGGAGTCCGCCGCTAGCCTCCGCCCCCGCGTCGCTAACTACCGCCGTTCCGGCTGCCTAGGCAACCCACAAAATCGGTCGGGTCGGTCAGCCCGCAACCGATCGGGTCGGGTCGGGTTCGAATTTACCGACCCGGTTAATCTACCCAAGGGCGGTTAGTGATACAGTTTGAACCCGCGGTCCGGTTCCGGTATCGACCCGAACTCCGACCCGTGAACCCGAAATTGATCACCCTAGATGTACTTACAAGAGTAGATAATTTATGCACCTTCATACATCCTATTTGTCTACGAACTATAGAATATTCTTATTCGACAACAGTCCTTCTTTTTTTTTAATCATTTTTGAATTGGCATATTTTTATTGGGTCGCGGGTAGTTTAATTTTGTATGTAAAAATTTCAAGAAAATGGGACTAAAAATTATGAAGCTTATATGAATGTTGTCTTATTAGTGAGAATCAAACAATTTAGATTAAAAGGTATGAAAAATACATTCACGCAATTGATTTGGGAAGAAGTAGAAGATGAAGAACCCAACTCACAAAGGTGTACAGTCCGTTTTTCTCAATTTTAATTATGGTATAATGGATAAAAAGGTAGGATTTTCACCCTAAATGTTGTTCAAAGTATCAAATTGTTTCCGACTATTATAAAAGTATCAATTTTTTCTTGAACTCTTTAATATATGTGATCAAATTAGTTCTTATTATTTAGTCCATATTTAAAAAGCATAACATATAGTCATAGGGCTAAAATTGAATATTTCAAATGTCAGAGCATTCATTTTGACTTTGTTATTTTCGGCCATTAATCTTAGGTGGATTAGTACTACCTATGTGTGTATATGTTCAATTTTTCATTTGTTTTTTAAGTTAATCAAATACAATTCAATAATCGTGTGTATGTATAAATAAATATTCCTCAATTATAAGCAATTCAAAGGAGATGCAATCCTTTAAATTTATTCTTCAAAATCCGAGAGAGGAGGCAGACCATAGTTTGCAGTATGTTTATAGATCCGAAAATTCATTTGAAGAATCAAATATCCAACCAAGACATCCTTAAAGGGATTTATTGATATTGGTTTTTAGCAGCTAAAAAGCTAGGGTCAGTCATCCTTGAACGAAGACTGGCCATCTGGGATGGATAGAGGAACATCATAATACAGGGGTTGACAAAATCTCAAAAAGAAAAAGTTCATACATATAGAATGCATATTTGTTTGTAGGATCAAAATGCGAAAAAAATTTCGAACCATGAGATAGAATAAAGGACACTCCCTCGGCATAGCTCAAAAATGAGGTGAATGAAGAGATTGGGCACAATCTAGTTGTTCTAATATTTGAATCTGACACTCTAAATCCGAACCCGGGACCCGACTTTGGAATCCTTGGTGTTGAAACCCTGTCCAAGAAAATTTTAAACGGTCAGGTTTCGAGGTTCCAAGAAATCGGCCCGTTTTAACTGTCTCTGGGTTCGGGTTGGAGCCCGGGGAAGTACCGGCCGCCCACCCTTTAATACTAAATTTTCAATTCCCGCCTTCATCCCCCTGCCCAAATCCGTGCTCGCCCCTGTTCCCGGAAATGAGAAATGTATGGACTCGACCGAAAGCAGCCCAAGCTATAACGCAGTTTTCCGTCCCTATATACCGTTTGTATTTCTAGAACCTTTGGCCATCCTTGCCTATTTTTAATATAATTTATATAAATAATTAAGAAGTTGGCCACGCCGGGCTCACCAACGTGGCATGGGGAAGCCACAATAACTAAATTCGACTTGCTGGGCATCCTCCAGGAAGCTTCTAGGCTCAATGACTGCCCTAATATCGAAGTTGAACTTGAGATGCCCAAGACCCCTCATAAGCGACGCTGACTTACATTCTGAATATCACATCCTTATTATTGAACAATGCGCCGATGAGAACATTATTTTAGATGCCTTGAGGCCTAGCTAAGTCGCACAAATATGGTCACGCCTGCTTCAGTCCGAGCCCGACTTATGTACCCACAAAGGAGGCGATATCATTGGGGTTAAACGCTGTCCAATTTGACTACACGCACAACTATATATTAGGCTCAGTGACGTGTATATGTATCCTGTACACCTGTATTCGTGGTGCGATCACGCCATAAAGCCACCCCAGTTCCCGCTTGAATAATTCAATCCGCCTTGCGGACAGGTCCAAAAAACCACAAGCACCCCTGCAAGACAAAATGCGCTCCGCCACCCACAAAACAAAGAAAAAAAAATATGCTTGATAAAAAAGGTAATTAAAGGGATAGGAAGAATATACTTCTGTGTTTTCGAACGTTTAAGAGTGCAACATATACCCAAATTTATATGGTTTATTTTGTTGATTTCGCTTCCGAGAGTTTTCTTATCTCGCGTGGTTACCCGGCATGCAC